CCTGGGCACAAGCGATCCACCTGCCTCGGCCTCCCAAGTGCTGGAATTACAGGCGTGAGCCACCGTGCCCGGCCTAGAATAAAAGTCTTGACTACATAGAAACTCTTTGAGATTAAATAGACCTTTCTTTTAAACTGACCTAGATATTCTTTAAAAATTATTTTCAACTAATGCATTGCAGTTTAAAATTCTGATATCAACTATTTTTATCCTAATTGTTTTTCAGTGAAATGAATGGTTTTTGAATATTTGACACCTGATGAAACTCAGGAATAACTAGACAAAGTCTTGGGAAGAATCTGGAAGTTAGTCTGCAGAAACCCAAGTACAAGTCAGAAGTTAGGATTATAAACCAAAAAGTATCTGAGACAGGTCCCAATCAATTTAGAAAGTTTATTTTGCCAAGGATAAGGATGTGCCTATGACATAGCCTCCTGAGGTCCTGATGACATGTGTCCGAAGTGGTCAGGGCCCAGCCTGATTTTATACATTTTAGGGAGACATAAGACCTCAATCAATCTATGTGAGATGTACATTGGTTTGGTCTGAAAAGGTGGGACAACTAGAAGAAGGGAAGGGGGCTTCCAGGTCATAGGTAGATAAGAGACAACAGGTGCATTTTATCGAGTTTCCGATTAGCCCTTCACCAAATATGCAATTTACAAGAACAGTCACTCATGCCTTAGTCTGGCTCCGTGAAACAACATGGCAAATGAAGCAATCAGATACCCGCTTGTCTCATGTCAGCAGAGGGGCGACTCTGACTTCTGCCTGTCCTCTTTCCACAAGGAATTTCCTCGTGGGCAAATTGTGAGGAATGTAGCTTTTTAAAACCTTTTTAAAGCTTAAAAAAGGTTTCTTATAGCTTAGAAAAACTATCTTATTTAGGAATAGAATGGGAGGAAGGTTTGCCCAATGCAGTTCCCAGCTTGACTTTTCCATGTGGCTTCGTGATTTTGGGGGTCCCAAGGTTTATTGGGACCAGTGGATCATAGGTGGGATCCAGTGGATCATAGGTGGGAGATGTATTGGACATATTGTGACCTAAAGCCTTTCGCTTGGGACAGGAATGACCACAATGGCATCAGTTGACTGAGACCCCTTCTCAGGCATGGCCCTAGTCAACTCTCAGAGCCCCTTCTCTCGCCTATCAAAACCGCTTTGAAAACAGACACAATAAAAAAGAAGGAAATCTTTCATTTGCAGCAATGTGGATGGAACTGGAGGTCATTATGGTAAGTGTTCCATTCAACGTGATGGAACTGGAGGTCTTTATGTTAAAAATAAGCCAAGCACAGAAAGACAAACATCACATGATTCCATAAAATATGATTTCATGGTGGTAGAGAGTATATGGTGGTTACCAGAGGCTGGGAAGGGTGTGTGGGTTGGGGGTGGGGGGTGGGGGCGAAGAGAGGTTGCTGAATGGGTGCAACCATAGAGTTAGACAGAAGGAATACATTCTAATGTTTGATAGAAGATCAGGGTGACTATAGTTAACAACAAGGTATCATAGTTTTCTAAATAGCTAGAAAAGGACTTGAAATGTACTCAACACATAGAAATGGTCGGGTGATGGGTATGTATCCTAAACACCCTGACTTGATCATTACACGTTCCATGCATATAACACAATTTCACATGTGCCCCATGAATATGTACAAATATAATGTATCAAAAACAAAGAAGAGAAAGGGCACAACCTGCCAGGTCCTACGACCCCTTTCTTGCTGTTCCTGAAACGTCCTCTTCTTATTACAAGGTTTTAATGCTGACATGAGGTCAGGCTTTCTCAACCCTGGCATTACTGATATTGGGGCAGGATAACTCTCTTTTGTGAGGGGCTGTCCCACACATCGCAGGATGTTTAGCAGCATCCCTGGCCTCTACCCACTCCAGCCAGTTGCACACCCTCTCCCATTAGGACCACCGAAAATGTCTCTAGACATTGCCTAATGTTTCCTGAGGAGAAGGGAGGGCAAAATCGCTCCCGGTGGGGAAACACCAGTGTCAGATGTTAATGAAAATAACAAATGGCGGTTATAAATGCTCCGTCAGCTTTCCTCCTTCTCCTAGGGAGAAGCAGCAGGATATCGGTGAGAGGACATTGTCTGGGACGGGAATACTGAGCTTCGTTCCAGCTCTGTCCTTGCCAGTGACCTTGAGCTAATCATTTTACCTCTTCAAGTCTCCATTGCCTTATTTTTGTAATAAAGGTGTATCATCATCAGCCATTTACTGAATGCCCATCATATGCAACGTGAATGAGAGAGCCTTCCTAGAAGCTGCTCGCAGTCAAGTAAAGCAGACAGACAGAAACAATCATTGAAAGGAAAAGTTCCAAGTTTTCAAGAGGGGGTTCCCATGCCTTGGCAGGGACTGAGACAGATGTTGGAGCCCTTGGCCGACCTTGGAGCCAGATGACTTGCGCATGTGCTTGCATGCCACGTGTACACTGCCCCCGCAGGAGGGCAAGGCCAGCTCGCAGGATTGGCACTGCCACCAGCCTTGGTGAAGTAGAACTGCCAGTGACCATGCCTGCTCCCTTCACTCTTCCTGGCGAGAGTGAAGTCATTCCAGCCTCTCATTTGCTTAGCCCATTTCACACTTTTTAGTCCCACAAGGCTGTAACTGTGTGGAGGGCTCCTCAGTTTCCCCTGGGTGTGAGCACACAGTGAGCGACCGAGACACCATCCTGGTCCTACCGGACTTTGATTGACAACTTTACAATGACAGTTTATGCCTCGGGAAAGTTCCACATTTCAAAACTCTCCTCTGTTTTACCAAACTAGGTCATTCCCTGACTAACACAGACCAAAGGTTTACCCTGCAGGCATTCCAAAGTCCTGTTCCGACACCCGATGGTCAACACTCAAAGACTGAGATAGAAGAGTTTCATTGCAAACCGTTTTCTCCCTTTTAAACGTAAAAAAATCCACATGAACAAGGACTAATGTCTTCATAGCATGCAAAGGCAAAAGTTTACATAGTGCGGTTTTAAAATGATCTCATGGAATCTAGCCGGACTTTACAAAAGCCATTCAATTCCGAAGTAAATTTTTAACTCTTCAGTTTCCTACTATCTGATTTGTGGATAGCCCAGACCTCATGTTTTCCTTTAGCCTCTCCACCTTTAGCCCCTCCTACCACCCAGCGTGTCTTTGAGAAGGGGTTCCCAATCCCGGGGACACAGACCAGTACCCGGTCCATGGCCTGTTAGGAACCAGGCCGCACAGCAGGAGGTGAGTGGCAGGCCAGCAAGCATTACCACCTGAGCTCAGCCTCCTGCCAGATCCGCAGCAGCAGGAGATTCTCATAGAAGCTCAAACCCTACTGTGAACCGCACATGCGAGGGATCTAGCTTCCTTATGAGAATCTAATGCCTGATGATCTGTCACTGTCTCCCATCACCCTCAGATGGGACTGTCTAGTTGCAGGAAAACAAGCTCAGAGCTCCCACTGATTCTACATTATGGTGAGTTGCATAATTATGTCATTATATATTACAATGTAGTAATCATAGAAATAAAGTGCACAATAAATGTCATGCACTTGAATCATTCCAGAATCATCCCCCCCCCACCACGCTGGTTCATGGAAAAAGTGTCTTGCACAAAACTGGTCTCTGGTGCCAGAAAGATTGGGGACCTCTGTTGTTGAGCATTGAAGGAAAAACCCAAACTCTTTCAGAAAACCTCACTTTTCTATTTTTCTACTTAACTTATGTAAGATTTTGTAAATGGCCAATTCTGTGTAAATGTTAAACTGAGCTGAATCAAGTGAGCTGGTATCAGTTATGGTGAGCCCTGGCATATGAGGAATTTGTGTGGCATAAGGATTTCTATCATCCATTCTAAAGGCTACGATAAATTTACAAGTCTGAATTTTATGAAATAATTTATACCTAACAGGGCCGGGCACGGTGGTTCAAGTCTGTAATCCCAGCACTTTGGGAGGCCAAGGCAGGTGGATCACAAGGTCAGGAGATCGAGACCATCCTGGCCAACACAGTGAAACCCCGTTTCTACTAAAAATACAAAAAATTAGCCAGGTGTGGTGGCGGGCACCTGTAATCCCAGCTACTCGGGAGGCTGAGGCAGGAGAATGCTGTGAACCTGGGAGGCGGAGCTTGCAGTGAGCCGAGATGGCGCCACTGCACTGCAGCCTGGGTGACAGAGCGAGACTCCTTTCAAAAATAAATAAATAAATAATAGTAATTTATACCTAACAATGCTTCCTTTTTTTTTTGAGACAGAGTCTCACTCTGTCGTCCAGGCTGGAATGCAGTAGTGCAATCTCTGCTCACTGCAGCCACACTTAAGTGATCCTCCTGCCTCAGCTTCTGGGGGAGCTGGGATTACAGGTATGCACCACCACGCCCAGCTAATTTTTGTAGAGATGGGGTTTCGTCACATTGCCCAGGCTGGTCTTGAACTCCTAGGCTCAAGAGATCCACCTTCCGTGATCTCCCAAATTGTTGGAATTACAGGCATGAGCCAATGTGCCATCCTAAAAATGCTCCTTGAATTACTATTGCAATAGCCCATATCCACTGAGCCTCCAGGGCTAATGCCCCTTGCAAAGCAGATTCCTTGCCTACCATGAAGGCTGTGCAATGCTGCAGCCCCTCGAGTTCCTCCACACACGCAGCCTGGACCCTCCTATCCATGCCCCAGTAGCAAAGTTAGGAGGCCAAGAGGCAAACATGCCCTATGGGTTCAGGTAACCCATCTCTTTCTTATAAGAGTGGGTGTGACGCAGGTGTTCTCCCTTCCACTCGGCAGAACAGAACCCAAGCCTGCTAGCTCTTTGCCACAAGTGAAGCAGACAATCGCGGGTTTCAGTGGCTAACCAGGTGCAGCAAGGAGAGGAAATTACATCTTTGAGATAGACTGAGTTCCAGAAGAAGTAGTGCAATTAGAGGGAGTCCAGGCACTGTGCTAGAACCTCAACCACTTACTTTCAGTTCTGTTTCACAACCAGAAGAAAACACTTGCTAATTGTGATCTTTTACCATTTTATTTTACGACACACAATCATGGAGATCTCGGTTGCGACTTCACATTATCAGCTCCCAGTTACTGAATGCTGAAAGCTGGCTTCAGCAAAACATTGTCCTCAGCAGCTCTGAGTGCACTGTCTTTTGTCCTTATGACAGGATGCAAAGTAGATGCCACTCTCCATGCTTTGCAGATGAGGACCCCCAGGCTCAGAATTTGACTTGAACCCAGGTTGTAAAACTCGCCAAGACTCTGGGCTGCTCCTCATGCTGGCGCCTGCATCCGAGCGTTTCCATCACTGCTCTGTGTTTTCTCTAAAATCCAGTCCATGTACTCAGCGACTTTGGTGTAGACACCAGGTTGCTCCCTGCGGGCACAGCCTTCGCCCCAGCTGGTGATGCCCACCAAACGCCACATTCCATTGTGTTTGCAAGCTAAGGGACCCCCTGAATCTCCCTGAGTCACAGGGGAAAAATAAAATGGTAGAAAGTTATGACAATGGGACTCAAATAAGTGACCACCTCTAAAATTCTGTAGTCCACTACACAGCAACACACACACACACACACACACAAACTTTCTTAAAGTTCTCCAAGTATCTCATGTGCCTGCATTTTTTGTATCCCCTCTTCAATTCTTAAATAAATCTAACAAAGAAATCTTGATATCATCATCCCAATGACAAAGAAATCTAATGTTTTTATATTTTAGTGCAATTATTGTATGTATTTTTGTCCCTCTTAAATTAGCACATGCATAGATTGTGACATACATCATGAATAATATAAATATGTATTGTATATATTCAATTTGTTAAAAGTTGCTTATAAATTTATCAGATCATTTGTCTCTGAATTTTTTTAAAAACTATAATAAATTATGCTATTGGAAAATATATTTTGAAGTGAATTTTCTCAAGCAGCCTATTGTGTTTTTCATAATCTCATGCATTACCTTACAAGCATCTTTTCCCCCTTCTTTATAGCCAGCACAGACCATCCGTTGGGTTATTTTATAATCTTGATATCTTTTCTGGCATTCTTCATTTGTTACCAAAGGAATATTTACCTTTTGTAGAATATCTTGGATTTCACCTGTGAAGTAACCAATATATAACTTCAGAGGGAGGAAACACAATAAATAGTAAATATGGAAATAAGTTTTCAAGTGAATCAGAGCAGTGTACTTTTTTATAAGGGCCGTATCTTTGAATACAAATAGTAAAAATTAGGAAGGTAGTGTTACACACACACACACACAGAGAGAGAGAGAGAGAGAGAGAGACGGAGCCCTGCACTGTCCTCTTATTACCTGTGTGGTGTTGGGACAAGCCCAGCACCCTGGGCTGGCCAGAGACCTTGCTTCCGTGTCTTCTTCCATCCCCTCATCTCAGTAACAGTCCCCCAGAAATCCCATTTTATATTTATCATCTACAAAAATCCAAAGCCTGGAAGTTCTCACTTTTCATTTTTTTGTTTCATATATTCCAAATTATAATTGAAAGCCCTATCGTTTCTGAAAAGCCCTCCGAGCTTTCGCGACAGAGGGGTCTTGGGGTCTTTTGTTTCTGAGTAAATGCAAGCGAGCATCTCTCATGGGGAGGACAGTGTTGGGAGCTTTCGTTGCTTAGTGAAGATTACTTTTAATTTCTTCTTGTCTCAGATTACCAGTAAAAAATCTAAAAATGTGAATCACTTGAACTAAGGACTGAATTGGGAAAGATGGAGAGAGTTTGGCAAGCTACCTTCTTCTGTAAAGAATGACACAGATATTATTCTCCATAGTGTCTATCAGGAACATAATTTTGGAAAGGGAGACCGGTCTGTTTTTTAAAAAGTTCAAGGACGATTGGAACACTCCAGATACCCACAAGTAGGAATTGCAAACCTAAGGTCCTCAGAAAGAATTCACATGGCTTATAAATTTGTGTAGAAAAAAAGTCTTTGTTTTCACAAACCTCCAGATGAAGCCTACCACTCCCTTCGATTACGAATGCAGACAACAAACACAGCAGTATCAGTGGCACCTATGACTTTGCCATCAACAGAGATTACAGATATTTTCATATCCCTTTTCTGTTGTGGCAGATAAGTGAAAATGCCATTTATGCTCACCACTATTTCAAAAGTAGGTTTGGTATTAGAATAACTCGCTATGTAGAGGATTAATAAAGAGGCATATATATTATTGTAGTACTTTTTGAAAGTATTTTGAGAACTGTCTTGCACTTCACTTGGTTTCTTTTGTAATCCTGTGTATTTTATTTAAGCATTTAAAAGCATTGTTAGAGAAGTGGTTCCTAGGCTTCCTCAGATTGCAGGAAGGGTGCCTGGAAGAAGAAGATGAAGAACTGGCCACAGAGAGAGGCGACACGCCTGCCTGTGCTCCCGGCCATTAGCATCAAGGGAGAACATGGTATTGGGAGATGGGAATGCTGCTAACACTGAGGACCAGATGGTCTTGCACGGGCTCGTCAGCCTTAGATGGGGACAATCTTTCATGCGAAGTCAAGCAAACGATCTTTAGAATGAAGTAAGATGCTTAAAATTCTCCCTAAAATTTTTTTTTCAAGCCAAAGCAAAAATACGTTTTTTAAGAATAACTGAATAAATATTGGGGAATAAATAGGTAGGAAAGATAAAGGGGTTCGATATAATTTCAGAGAGAAGCCGATTAAAACGACCCACTCCATGCATCTCAACATGTAAGACTTACTCTAGAAGCAATATTTAAAGCATCATGCTGTACCTTTTTCCTTCGAGAAGCCCCATCCAGTTACCCAACAGTTGGTATAAATTGTGTTTGTGTCACCTTTGGAAGGTAGGCATATTGGTTTTTGGAATTCTGAAACATAATTTTTAAATTAGAGTTTGGTCAAATAAAGTTATGGATATAGACTTTAAAAATACATCTTTTTCTTTTTCTGTCTTCTCTTTCTATAGAGTAGCACCAAGAATAACTTTTTTGCTTTCTGCCCAACTTCTAAGGCTATTGATTCAAGAAAATTTGTCACCACCATTTTTCACATGACCTTTTTGGTGTTACAATTTCCTGAGTTACATTCTTAAAACTCAGAACCTAAATCTACGGTCAAAAGCATTTAGAAGTTCCTGCGTCTTATTCCGTGTATGCTATCCTTAATAGTCATAGCAGGTGTCTTCACTGTTCCAGACATGAAGTGCTTTAATGTATTGATTATTACAACAAACCCAGGAAGAAATTATCATCCTCATTTTACAGATGAGGAAATTAAGAGGTGCAAAGAGGTAAAGCAACTTGCCCAAGGTCACATAATTGTGTGCAGTGGCACTATCTTGGCTCACTACAGCCTTGACCTCCTGGGCTGACATGATCCTCTTGTCTCAGCCTCCTGACTAGCTTGGACTACAGGTGCACACCACCACACCCAGTTAATTGTTTTTTTTGTAATTTTATGTAGAGACAGGGTCTCACTGTGTTGCCCAGGCTGATCTCAAACTCCTGACCTCAAGCAATCCTCCCACCTGGGCATCCCAAAGTGTGGGGATTACAGGGGTGAGCCACCATGCCTGGCCATTAATGTTATTGGATACAGTGGGTATTCAGCTCCTGGCAGCAATGAACCTCCAAAGGCAACACCTCTGATCACGATGTTCTGGCCTTTCCAGGGCTTCTTTCGGCATCAGTCTCTTTCCTACCCAAATTATACCTGGAAATATGTATCTAGTCCCACTGGTCCTCACACATTCTAATATCCCTAAGCCCAAAGCAATGACAGTTCTGCTACTCTTGTCAAAAGAAGCCCGGTGCCTCTCAGACGGCACAGACATCTCCTCCGTCCATTATTTCCATCACCTGCGCGCGGCTGTGCTCCTCCCTGAAAGAACTAATTCACGTTTCTTGCTCTTTACGTAGAAGAGATTTCATGGCAAGTCGTGGGATCTTCACTTCCCATGCAACCCTCACCTTTCCCTCAACTCCACCGGTCAGAAAATAACAACAGTCTCTCTAGATCTGCCCTCTTGTCCAAACTGATATGAAAATATCATCCAGCACAATTCTGCTATCCGCCTTCTTACATACGCTACATACCAGTGTAATTCAAAGGAGCCTGGAGTTTTATTAAGGCGATATCATGATTCCCTTCTGAGATTCTATAGTTTTGGTGAATAATGATCTCTTTTATTTGTGAGAAAGGTGTTTCTTTTGTAATGTCTGACAGATTTAAAATGCCACTATAAATGCGCCAAACATCCGGTAAGGGAAGCCTAGGAGAGAAAAATAAAACCTATTTGAAACTGGGAAGGCCTTCCTTCAATATTGTTCCTTTTTCCTATCACTCTCTTTCAAAGAGAACTGGGAAGGAAATACTACATAGGACATATTTTCTCCTACCTAATTCCTCCTACGGGTCATTTTTCATCACCAATAGCGGCAGACGTGAATCTCTGAAGATTCTATTTAACAAACTGAGAAGTGTACATTTATGTAATTGTATCATGCTTACTTACTGCAAGTGAAAACACAAAGAATGTTGCTGTCCCATTTTTGAGAGACACTGTAGTGGGAAGAGACTAGCAATTTATCATGGAAAAATTAAGCTCATTCACCAAAGCTGCACCTCATTGCTCCATTAAATTCAGAACTATCAAGAAGTCAGACTGATCTTTCAATGCTCTTCTAATTAGGCAGAGTAGGAGGACTTCAGTGTTGTTTAAAATATCTCTATACGGCCGGGCACAGTGGCTCACACCTGTAATCCCAGCACTTCGGGAGGCCGAGGCGGGTGGATCACTTGAGGCCAGGAGTTTAAGGCCAGCCTGACCAACATGGTGAAACCCCGTCTCTACTGAAAATACAAAAATTTGGGAGGATGAGGCAGGAGACTCGCTTGAACCTGGGAGGCGGAGGCTGCAGTGAGCCGAGATCCTGCCACTGCACTCCAGCCTGGGTGACAGAGTGAGATTCCATCTCAATAAATAAATAAATAAAATATTAAAATAAAGTGTGTGCGTGTGTTTGTGTATGTGTGTGTGTATATATATATGAAAGTATGAAAATTTAAATTGATTCTTTAAAAGATGAATACATACTAAGTACATCCAAAATTATGATCTAAAGCAAAGCCTTATTCTGTGCAAAGATCTAGAAATCTTTATCATCACCAAGTGGTGCAAGGCATGTGTGCACAATATTCTAGAAAAAATAACGGAGATATCACGTGCAAAGGAGCTTTTTTTAATGAAATCATCGTACTTTTATGTCTATTATCTCTTATAAACTTACAATACTGAGCCTTCAAGAATGAAAATTCCTGGTCTCAAATTGAAGTACATTTAGTAAAAAAGACACCTACTGTTTCCCATCTTGGGCCTTTTCTTCCAGGCCAACCACCTTTAAACCACATGCAAGGGCATGTATGGCGGAGCCCCTTCACGGTGACAAGGTGGAGGGGTCTTGCTCCACCCACATGTACCACCAACTGCTATATTTTGGCGGCTGTATGTTCAATCCTAGTACACAGCATCTAAGCATGAATTTCACTAAAACAAAAATACTTTGTGTTTATTTTTTAGAAAAATCAAGTGTCTTCTAGTATTTCTTTTGCTTTTTCATATGCTTTGTCCATTTCTACACTTCTTATTGAATATAGAAATCATAGTTTACATTTGTTGAGCAGTGTTCATGTTCGACATATAGTACTAAGCATTTTAAATGTGTCACTTAATCCTCCCAATAACCTTACAAATTAGGTACTATTATTATTTATCTTTTAGATAAAATAAAGCTCAGAGAGATTTACAAATCTCCTAGGGCCACACCTCTAATAAGCAGCAAAGTTATCACTCAAGCCATGTTTTGTCTAACTCCAAAACCTCAGTGTTTTAAGACTTACCTAACATGTCTACTATTTGACCAATAAAACTGAAATAGATCAAATTACATATGTTGAAATATACGGAGTACAAAACTCTCACTTTTAAAAATTATTATTAGTATATATATTAATCAAAAAGCAAGAAGTAACATTTCTATGGGCCTGAGAAATAAGTCTTTGATTTATTGCTGGTGGGATTGCTGGTGGGATTGGTGGTGGGATTAGTGGTGGGTGGTGGTGGGATTGGTGGTGGGTGGTGGTGGGATTGGTGGAGGGATTGGTGGTAGGACTGCTGGTGGGATTGGTAGTGGGTGGTGGGATTGGTGGTGGGATTGGTGGTGGGTGGTGGTGGGATTGGTGGTGGGTGGTGGTGGGATTGGTGGTGGGATTGGTGGTGGGTGGTGGTGGGATTGGTGGTGGGATTGGTGGTGGGATTGGTGGTGGGTGGTGGTGGGTGGTGGTGGGATTGGTGGTGGGATTGGTGGTGGGTGGTGGTGGGATTGGTGGTGGGATTGGTGGTGGGACTGGTGGTGGGATTGGTGGTGGGTGGTGGTGGGATTGGTGGTGGGACTGGTGGTGGGATTGGTGGTGGGTGGTGGTGGGATTGGTGGTGGGTGGTGGTGGGATTGGTGGTGGGATGGGTGCTGGGATTGGTGGTGGGATTGGTGGTGGGTGGTGGTGGGATTGGTGGTGGGTGGTGGTGGGATTGGTGGTGGGATTGGTGTTGGGATAGGTGCTGGGATTGGTGGTGGGATTGGTGGAGGGATTGGTGGTAGGACTCCTGGTGGGATTGGAGGTGGGTGGTGGGATTGGTGGTGGGATTGGTGGTGGGTGGTGGTGGGATTGGTGGTGGGTGGTGGTGGGATTGGTGGAGGGATTGGTGGGGGGTGGTGGTGGGATTGGTGGTGGGATTGGTGGTGGGTGGTGGTGGGATTGGTGGTGGGTGGTGGTGGGATTGGTGGTGGGATGGGTGCTGGGATTGGTGGTGGGATTGATGGTGGGTGGTGGTGGGATTGGTGGAGGGTGGTGGAGGGATTGGTGGAGGGATTGGTGGTGGGATTGGTGGTGGGTGGTGGTGGGATTGGTGGTGTGATTGGTGGTGGGATTGGTGTGGGTGGTGGTGGGATTGGTGGTGGGATTGGTGGTGGGTGGTGGTGGGATTGGTGGTAGGATTGGTGGTGGGTGGTGGTGGGACTGGTGGTGGGATTGGTGGTGGGTGGGGGTGGGATTGGTGGTGGGATTGGTGGTGGGTGGTGGTAGGATTGGTGGTGGTGGGATTGGTGGTGGGATTGGTGGTGGGATGGGTGGTGGGTGGTGGTGGGATTGGTGGTGGGATGGGTGCTGGGATTGGTGGTGGGATTGGTGGTGGGTAGCGTTGGGACTGGTGGTGTTATTGGTGGTGGGATTGGTGATGGGTGGTGGTGGGTGATGGTGGGATTGGTGGTGGGATGGGTGCTGGGATTGGTGGCGGGCTTGGTGGTGGGTGGTGGTGGGTGGTGGTGGGATTGGTGGTGGGATTGGTGGAGGGATTGGTGGTGGGACGGGTGCTGGGATTGGTGGTGGGATTGGTGGTGGGTGGTGGTGGGATTGGTGGTGGGATTGGTGATGGGATTGGTGGTGGGTGGTGGTGGGATTGGTGGAGGGATTGGTGGTGGGTGGTGGTGGGATTGGTGGTGGAATTGGTGTTGGGATTGGTGTCAGGATGGGTGGTGGGTTGTGTGGTGGGATGGGTGGTGGGATTGGTGGCGGGTGGTGGGTTGGAGGAGTGGTGTATTGTGTTTGTTTCTCTTTCTGTGGGAGAATACCCACCCAGGGCCATCAGTCCTGTACAGAGACCACACTCTGTTATGATGGTCAGACTGGTCAGTGCTTGGACTCTGCTAGTTAAATGTTGTGAATACCATCCCTGCTTTAACACGTCTCTATTCATAAAGTCACATGACGGTGAAGCAGCTGATCACAGACCCTTCAAAATGAAAAGTCAAGGTAAGACTCTGGATGAGATGCATCCAACACTTACCCATCAAAGCAGTGGGCAGCAGTGAGGACCCACTGGTGTCCTATGAGTGACCCTCCACACAGGTGCCTCTGAGCCATCAGCTTCACCTGCAGGCTCACTTGCCAGGGCCACTCTCCCCAAGAAGAGTTTGTTCCTCCAACAATGCGTGAGCTTGTTTTTGTTGTGCAAACTGAAACAAGAGTGTTGATGCTAATGGTTGAAATTAGAAGTGAATCAAAGTCCCTTCTAACCAAGGAGAACAAGACATATAATTCCTTAAGACTAAGCACACTATCAACATGACAGACATCCCTTACAGTTCCATGAAAAAGTGAGGTTACTCACCAGAGCTGTCCCCAGTGTTACACAATCTCAAAGAGTAACCAGAGCTCCCTTGTGTCCCATATGTAATCCTAGTTGGAGAACCATCCGAAGATAATCTTAAGAAACACTTACACCTAGATGAAATGAACAGTAGAAAGAGTAAGCCTTCACTAGGGGAAAAAGAATATGAAATGATCATGAAAAATAAAATGTCCCTTACTTCTCCTCCTTACAGTCTTCTGGGAGTAAAGAGTAAGTGAAAAACTGACAGCGAATCATCTTTGTACAAGTCTCTTGGCAAACATTCACTCCTTTAACGAAAGTCACATTCAATTCTTCTCCTCCAAAGTCAACTCCCGGGTAAATTTTAGAATGGCAGGGTTCTGTGTCAATTATAAACATGAAAAGATACCAAATAAGAAAAGCAATGAACGACATTTACACAAGTTTCTGTTACCTTGTGGATTGTTTCAACACTGTTGCTGTTAAGTCATGAAATATGTTACGTTTTATGTAATATTATTATTGAATCACATTACCAGGTAAAGTTCTTTTGCAGGTTAAAAGGCTGTATCCAGATGTGGTGTTTTCTTGAGGAGTAGAGGAACTTGGTGTGCCACTTTCAGATGTTTTAAGAAAACAAACATTTCTATTTTTTATAAAAAAGCAAGAGAGAAAGAAAGAAGTTTGCATTAAAGGCATTAGGCAAATACAAAAGCAGCTCACACCCAAAAAGGAAGTTGGCAAATTTTATTCTTTTGGGAAACTCTCTTCCAAGTAAATCCGACTACAGGACTCTAATAAATTGCAGAGATTAAATGTAAATCAAACCACATCTCCCTCTGGAGAAAACTAATAGGCACAGACAACCTGAAGAGAGGACAGTGACGAAGTTCCACCTTCTAACTGGAAAAACAAACAAACAAAAAAATCAAAGAAGAAATTCTGGGAGTTTATGCTGCCGATGATATTCCGTAACTAGGCACCCTTCTCTTAGCTCCATGCTGTGTGTAGAAGAGGGTGGGTTATCTGAGATAAAGAGAGTGGGACAGAGCCTTGATCAGAATAAACAGAGCTCTAGTTTCTGAAACAAAGGGAAGAGGCAACAAGCTTAAGGGATATTCTGCCAGGGAGTGGCTTTTACTCCAAGCTAATACAAAACGTGAAGATCGTGTTTTGAATCTTCATTCAAAGGCGTCAGATCCTTCTTTGTTCTCATGGCTATTGCTTCCTGGATTCAATGGTAACGTGTTTTTTTTTGTTTGTTTGTTTTTGTTTTTTTGTTTGAGACGGAGTCTCGCTCAGTCACCCAGGCTGGAGTGAGCGGCGCCATCTTGGCTCCCTGCAAGCTCCGCCCCCCGGGTTCCCGCCATTCTCCTGCCTCAGCCTCCCGAGGAGCTGGGACTACAGGCGCCGCCACCTCGCCCGGCTAATTTTGTGTATTTTTAGTAGAGACGGGGTTTCACCGTGTTAGCCAGGATGGTCTCCATCTCCTGACCTCGTGATCCACCCGCCTCGGCCTCCCAATGTGCTGGGATTACAGGTGGGAGCCACCGCACCCAGCTGGTAACATGTGTTTTAAAGTAAGAGAAGACAGGCAGAGAAGTCTGCTAATCTCTTAACTAATCTGCACCTGGCAGAAAAGTACCTACTTAAACTGCAGGTCCAAGTGTTTTGAGGGAAATGAAGGAAACTTTTAAAAACTCAGACTCTAAAATAAAATTGATGAAAGTACAGCAGCAAGTGCTAGCCATGCATACTCGCCTTTGTGACTCGATCTTCCATGCATTCGTATAGAACGTAAAGAAGAGGCAGCTGGGATGATAGGTGCAGATGGTTCGACACACAAAAGCATCTGGGGCGAGAACTCTGGCAACATCCACATCCGAGAAGGCAAGATGCTGGAAGATGTTCATGTGACAACCTGTGAACTCAGAGAGAGATGTTCCTTAGGAAACCACACAATGCTAAATTCGCTTGTATTTTGTCATCGTAATTAAGGAATTATGACTATTTATATTATTCATGGTACTAAACATCCTAAGTGACAAAACGTCCTTTAAAATACCTCCAAACTGTTTGTCATTTAGAGGAAGGCAAAACTGGTCCAACTCTAAGGGGCAAACTCCTATGTCAGAGAAATAAAAGCTGTGCTCCCAGCTCCAGTCACCACCGTTGCCAAATGTTTGCATTACTCAGCATGTGTTTACGTTTTCCTTCTATTACTCTGACTCTGAGGCCTTTGGAATGTAAGGGTTTTTTGTTGTTGTATTTTCCTGAATATTATAAAAAATTATTTAATAAGAAGTGATTAACAAAAATGCCTTGTGCCCATTAAAATTAGAATGGGAGACAATCTACTTTTATTAACATTACATTAATACGATCTTATATCTTAGTTTTATTTTAGCTGTGTTCCTATCGTTTACGTAGTTTACTAAATTTGATAACACATAATTCTATTGATACTCATTGGTCTACAGATTCAATGCCCTCTCTGTCAAAATCCTGCTGCCTTCTGGTTGCAGAAATTGACAACCAACCTACAATTCATATGGAAATGCAAAAGATCCGGAATAACCAAATTAATCTTGAAAAAGAACAAAATAAAAGCACTCAGACTGTCTGAGTTCAAAACTTACTACGAAGTTATGGTAATCAAGACTGTGTGTAACTGGCATTAGGACAGACATACAGGTCAATGGGATAGAACTGATGGTCTAAAAATAAACTCTTACATTTATAGAAAATTGATTTTGAAAAGAGTTTCAAGACAATGGAATAACTGAATATCCACATACAAGAATTAAGTTGGATTCCTACTTTACACCATATACAAAATTTAATTTAAAATGCATCAAATGCCTAAATGTAAGAGCTAAAACTATAAACCTCTAAGAACAAATCATACACAAAAATCTTCATAACCATGAATTAGGTTTTGGCATTTTAGGTAAAGCACATGCAAGAATAAAGCCAGACTGTATTTCATCAAGTTTAAAAACTTTTGTGCTTCAGAGAACACCATCACTAAAGTGAAAAGATGACCTGCAGATGCACAGAAAATTTGCCAATAATATATGTTACAAGAGTGTAGTATCCAGAGTATATAAAGAGTTCATACAACTCAACAATGAAAACAAAATAACCCAATTATTTTTAATGGCTAAAGGATTTAAACAGAGATTTCCCCAAAGAATTTATTCAAATTGAAAATAAGCATATGAAAAGATACACAACATTATTAGTCATTAGGGAAATACATATCAAAACCACAGTGAGACACCACTTCACACTGCCTAGAAAGGCAATAATAAAAAAGACAATAACAAGTGTTGTTAAGGTTGTAGAGAGATTGAAGCACTCAGTTGTTGCTGGTAAGAATGTAAAATTGTGTAGCTGCTCTCAAAAACAGTTTGACACTTCCTCAAAAAGTTAAACATGGAGTTACTGTATGATCCAACAATTTTAATCCTAAGTATATACATAAGATAATTTAAAATGTATGCCTACACAAAAACTGCTGTCCATTGCAGCATTATTCATAAGAGGCAAAAAAAAAAAAAAAAAAAAAATCCAGAAACAACTCAAATGTTCATCAAACTAAGTATATAAACAAAATATGGTTTATTCATATAATAGAATACTATTTAGTCCTAAATAGGAACAAAGTACCGATATATGCTAGAATATGAATGAGCCTTGAAAACACTCCAGATGAAAAAAGCTAGATGCAAAATGTGCTGCATTGCATGATTGCATTTATGTAAAATGTCCCGAAGAGTCAAGTCCACAGACATAGAAAGTAGATTAGTGGTTGTCAGGGGATTGGAGGAGTAGGCAATGGAGAAAGACTGCCAATGGATACAGTCTTTCTTCAGTGGTAATAAAAATGTTCTGGAACTAGATAGTGGTGATTCTTGTGAAATCAGGTGGATATACTAAAAACCACCGAGTTGTACACTTTCAAAGGGTTAATTTTATGTTATCTAAATTATACATCAAAAATTTTAAATCTACTATGAAAAAATAATATATGCTATATTAAAATACCAAACTTGATAGAGGGAATTCATGTAAAACAGACACATTATTTATATACATAAGAATTAAATTTTCTTGATATTTTCAGCAGCTTCATGGTGGATTCTCAAACATTCTTCAAGTCTCCTTATAAAGTGCTATTAAACCCCATCTTTTCCAATGTGTATGTATGATTCTAAGAACTTCACATTTATTCATGTTAAATGTCAGGTCTCTGGGCCCAAGCCTGCACGCATACATCCAGATGGCCTGAAGTAACTGAAGAATGACAAAAGAAGTGAAAATGGCCGGTTCCTGCCTTAACTGATGACATCACCTTATGAAATTCCTTCTCCTGGCTCAGAAGCTCACCCACTGAGCACCTTGTGAGCTCCAACCCTGCCCATCAGAGAACAACCCCTTTGACTATAATTTTCTATTACCCACCCAAATCCTATAAAACGGCCCACCCCTATCTCCCTTCACTGACTCTCTTTTCTGACTCAGCCCACCTGCACCCAGGTGATTAAAAAGCTTTATTGCTCACACAAAGCCTGTTTAGTGGTCTCTTCACACGGGTGCACATGACATTTGGTGCCGTGACACGGATTGGGGGACCTCCCTTGGGAGATCAATCCCCTGTCCTCCTGCTCTTTGCTCTGTGAGAAAGATCCACCTATGACCTCTGGTCCTCAGACCAACCAGCCCAAGGAACATCTCACCAATTTTAAATTGGGTAAACGGCCTCTTTTTACTCTCTTATCCAATCTCTCTCACTATCCCTCAACCTCTTTCTCCTTTTAATCTTGGCGCCATCCTTCAATCTCTCCCTTCTCTTAATTTCAATTCATTTCATTTTCTGGTAGAGACAGAGGAGACGCATTTTATCTGTGAACCCAAAACTCTGGCACCAGTCATGGACTCGGGAAGACAGTCTTCCCTTGGCATTTAATCACTACAGGGACACCTGCTTGATTATGCGCCCATGTTTCAGAGGTGTCTGATCACCTTAGGGATGCCTGCCTTGATCCTTCACCCTTAGTGGCAAGCACCACTTTCCTGGGGGGCAAGCACCCTGACCCCTTCTCTCCGTGTCTCTACCCTCTCTTTTCTCTGGGCTTGCCTCATTCACTATAGGCAACTTTCCACCCTCCACTCCTCCTTCTTCTCCCTCAGCCTATGTTCTCAAGAACTTAAAACCTCTTCAACTCACACCTGACCTAAAACCAAAACACCTTATTTTCTTCTGCAATGCCGCTTAACCCCAATACAAACTTGACAATGGTTCCAAATAGCCAGAAAACGGCACTTTTGATTTTTCCATCCTACAAGATCTAGATAATTCTTGTTGTAAAATGGGCAAATGGTCTGAGCTGCCTGATGTCCAGGCAGTCTTTTACACGTCAGTCCCTCCCTAGTCTTTGTTCCCAATGCAACTCATCCCAAATCTTCCTTCTTTCCCTCCCGCCTGTCCCCTCAATCCCAACCCCAAGCGTTGCTGAGTCTTTCCAATCTTCCTTTTCTATGGACCCATCTGACCTCTCCCCTCCTCCCCAGGCTGCTCCTTGCCAGACTGAGCCAGGTCCCAATTCTCCCTCAGCCTCTGCTCCTCCACCCTATAATCCTTCTATCACCTCCCCTCCTCACACCCGGTCCGGCTTCACACCCGGCCCTCTCACCTGCCCAACAATTTCCTCCTAAAGAGGTGGCTGGAGCTAAAGGCATAGTCAAGATTAATGCTCCTTCTTCTTTATGTGACCTCTCCCAAATCAGTTAGCATTTAGGCTCTTTTTCATCAAATATAAAAAGCCTAGCCCAGTTCATGGCTCATTTGGCAGCAACCTTGAGATGCTTTACAGCCCTAGACCCAGAAGGGCCAGAAAGCTGTCTTATTCTCAATACGCATTTTATCACCCAGTCAGCTCCTGACATTTAAAAAAAAACCACCAAAAATTAGATTCCAGCCCTCAAACCCCACAGCAGGACTTAATTAATCTTGCCTTCAAGGTGTACAATAATAGAGTAGAGGCAGAGAAGTAGCAACATATTTCTGAGTTGCAATTCCTTGCCTCTGCTGTGAGACAAAACCCAGCCACATCTCCAGCACACAAAAACTTCAAAATGCCTAAGCTGCAGTGGCCAAGCATTCCTACAGGACCTCCTCCATTAGGATCTTGTTTCAAGTGCCAGAAATCTGGCCACTGGGCCAAGGAATGCCCACAGCCGAGGATTCCTCCTAAGCCGTGTCCCATCTATGTGGGACCCCAGTGGAAATTGGATTCTCCAACTCACCCAGCAGCCACTCCCAGAGCCCCTGGAACTCTGACCCAAGGCTCTCTGACTGACTCCTTCCCAGATCTTCTCGGCTTAGCAGCTGAAAACTGACGCTGCCTGATCGCCTCAGAAGCCTCCTGGACCATCACAGACGCCTTGGGCAACTCTTACAGTGGAGGGTAAGTCCGTCCCCTTCTTAATTAATACAGCGGCTACCCACTCCACATTACCTTCTTTGCAAGGGCCTGTTTCCCTTGCTCCCATAACTGTTGTGGGTATTGATGGCCAGGCTTCTAAACCTCTTAAAACTCCCCAACTCTGGTGCCAACTTGGACAACATTCTTTTATGCACTCCTTTTTAGTTATCCCCACCTACCCAGCTCCCTTATTAGGTTGAGGCATTTTAACTAAATTATCTGCCTCCCTGACTTTCCTAGGCCACAGCCACACCTCATTGCCACCCTTGTCCCCAAAGCCTCCTTCGCATCCTCCCCTTTTATGTCCCCACCTTCATCCACAAGTGTAGGTTACCTCTGCTCCCTCCTTGGCGACTGATCATGCACCCCTTACCATCCCATTAAAACCTAATCACCCTTACCCTGCCCAATGCCACTATTCCATCCCACA